AGTGAAGAAAGTCTGGCCCAATGGCTAGCATGTACACTGGGGAAGAGGATGGCAAGGTCAAATGCTTTTGCCACTGTCACTCAGCTGCCTACTTCTGTATCTTCTCAGTGCAGGCCAAGGCAGGTTCCCTTCCAGAGAAAGCCGAAAGCTTTTGAGGGAGAGAAGGGACACCAAAGAAGAAAGTATCAGAGGCAGCTCCAGGCTCTCCTCCCTCACTCTTCTAAGCCCTTGTCCACTCGCTAATGAACACCCTTAGAATGCACTCAAAAGGGCTCAGTCTCCCTTCTCTCCTCCTGCCAGTTGTCATCCTTTTACCTAACATCAGAGGTGTTTACTCGGTGGCCCAGCTCCTTACCAACTCACCTGGTGTTTGAAACCTTTGAAACATTCTTGATCGGACTTTTTTCCCCAACACTTCTTATTCTTCATTCCAGAGGACTGCACGTCAGGCTGTCTTTCCTGTTTCCAATGGGCTCCAATTTCACATCCAGCTTAGTTCTGGAAGCATTGACAGTAGAGTATGAATGGGCCATACTCATTACATAGTGGAAAAAATTCCAAATTAGGAGACAGTCACAGACATTAGCTGGCCTGACCCAAACTCAGTTACACACAGTTGGGAAGGAGTGTCACCAGGGAGATGACTGACATGGTTCTACATGCTGGGACCTGGTGCACCTGTGCTCACGTAGCTGCCTTAAGGAGCACATTCGGAGCTGGACATTGACTTTAGAGGAGAAACGCAGACTGTGCTGTGAGCATTTGAGGGCTGCTTGGCTTGTTTTTTTAAATATATTTCTATCTGTACAATTGCCTGGATTATTCTATCCCAGACATCATATCTTTGTCTGCTGAAGGCCTGAGGGCCTAACATCTACATAGGGCATTTTTCACAGAAACTAGAGGCATTATGTTAACTCGTACCAGCTCATGCAATGAGAACTAGATCTGGAACTTTAAGTTCTAATTTCCTTTCCTGAACTAATTTGGCTTCACAAAGAAATATTAATACATCAGAGAAGGCTGCCTAGGCCCTAGAGCACCTTCTCACCTTGCTAGCTGTCCATGTGTTCATATCAACACTTGAAGTTTAATTTTTTTCCCTAAATAAATGGAAGTCAACAGATCAGAACAAGGGTGAGAAATTAAGTCAATAAAAGGTTTTTGAACAGAACAGATTCATATTTTTTTTTTCCCCCGAGCTAGGGTCTCACTCTGTTACCCGGGCTGGAATACAGTGGCACAATCCTAGCTTGCTGCAGCCTCAAATTCCTGGGCTCAAGCGACACTCCTCCCATCAGGCTCTCATGTAGCTGGGACTATGTGTGTGTACCACCATGCCCAGCTTTTTGTAGAGGCATGGTCTCAATATGTTGTCCAGGCTGGTCTCAAATACCTGGCCTAGCCAGGAGCAGTGGCTTATGCCTGTAATCCCAGCAGTTTGGGAGGCTGAGGCAGGTGGATCACCTGAGGTCAGGAGTTCGAGACCAGCCTGGCCAACATGGTGAAACACTATCTCTACTAAAAGTACAAAAATTAGCCAGGTGTGATGGCACATGCCTGTAATTCCAGCCACTCGGGAGTCTGAGGCAGGAGAATTGCTTGAACCCAGGAGGCAGAGGTTGCAGTGAACTGAGATTGTGCCATTGCATACTTCAACCTGGGCAACAAGAGCAAGACTCCATGTCAGAAAAAAAAAAAAAAAAAAAAAACGGCTGAACGTGGTGGCTCATACCTGTAATCCTGCCACTTTGGGAGGCTGAGGTGGGAGGATCATAATCCCACCACTTTGGGAGGCTGAGGCAGGAGGATCACTTGAGGTCAGGGGTTCGAGACCAGCCTGGTCAACATGGTGAAACCCCATCTCTACTAAAAATACAAAAATTAGCCAAATGTAGTGGTGCACACCTATAATCCCAGCTACTTGGGAGGCTGAGGCAAGAAAATCACTTGAATCCAGGAGGCAGAGGTTTCAGTGAGCCAAGGTTGTGCCACTGCACTCCAGCTTGAGCAACAGAGACTCTCTCTCAAAAATAAAACCTGGCCTCAAGCAGTCCTGTCACCCTGGCCCCCAACATGCTGGGACTACAGGCATGAGCCACCATACCTGGCCAATAAGTTTGGGTTTGGGGGGTGCCGGCAGGGCCAGTGGGGTGAGTTGAGACACAGTCTTGCTCTGTTGTCCAGGCTGCCTTGCAATAGTGTGATCATAGCTTACTGTAACCTCAAACTCTTGAGCTCAAGTGATTCACTTGCAGCCTCCCAAGTAACTGGGACTACAGGCATATACCACCATGCCTGGCTAATTTTGATGTTTATTTTGTAGAGACTGGCCTCACTATGTTGCCCAGGCTGGTCTCAAACCCCCAGGCTCAAGCAATCCTCCTGCCTCAGACTCCAAAGTGCTAGGATTACAGGCATGAGCCACTACACCAGGCCACTGATAATTTTTTTTTTTTTTTTTTTGGAGACGGAGTCCCGCTCTGTCACCCAGGCTGGAGTACAGTGGCACAATCTCGGCTCACTGCAATCTCTGCTTCCTAGGTTCTGGTTCAAGCAGTTCTCCTACCTCAGTGTCCCGAGTAGCTGGGATTACAGGAATGCCACCATGCCCAGCTAATTTTTGTAGTTTTAGTAGAGACAGGGTTTCACTATGTTGGCCAGGCTGGTCTTGAACTCCTGACCTCGTGATCCACCCACCTCGGCCTCCCAAAGTGCTGGGATTACAGGCTTGAGCCACCGCACCCGGCTCCTGATCTGTATTTTTAAGGTCAGGTTTATTGAAATATAATAGGTTGTAAGAGTTTTGTAATTTCCTTTTTTTTAGTTTGTATATGTAAAAAAATTTTAAGTGCGGTAAAATACACCTAACATAAAATTTACCACCTTAATCATTTTTAATGTACATTTCGATAGTATTGACTACATTCCCACTGTCGTGCAACCAGTCTCCAGAACTTTTTTTTCCTTCTTGCAAAACTGAAACTCTATACAGTTGTTCAATGGGCATTAAAAAAACCTGCCCATTCTCCCTGCCCCCCATTCCCTGGCAACCACTGTTCTACTTTCTGTCTCTATGAACTTGACTACTCCAGGTACCTCATATAAGTGGAATTGTACAGTATTTGTCTTTTGTAACTGGCTTATTTCACTTAACATAATATCCTCAAGGCGCCTGCCCATGTCAGCATTTCCTTCCTTTTTAAAGCTGAATATGCCACGTTTTGCTTCTTCATTCATCTGCTGATGGACACTTGGGCTGCTTCCACCTCTGGCTACTGTGAATAAAGCTGCTATGAACATGGGTATATAAATCTCTCTTCAGAACCCTGATTTCTGTCACTTGCGACTTTTTAAATGTGCCAAGGAGTAAGCCTAGAAGAATTCTGTATCACATTGTTTTGCATCTCTTATCACTTGGAAAAAAATCAGGAATGCAGCACTAATTTCACCAGGTAATCTCTGTGTAGCGTCTTGGTGCACCCATTCTCAAAGGGCTTCTTGTGCCATTCTTCAGTGATAGGGGAGTGCTTTGAGAATTGCCATTAAATAGAAAGGAACGCAGTTCAGCTCTGTGTCAGAGACGGAGACACTCTGATCAAGGACGGAATTGGCAGTGGCACAGGGTGTTACCAAAAACTGTCATTCTAGTGTCCCCTCACGTGGGACTTGAAGCCCCACATCACCTTTCCCCAGCCCGAAAAGGTACGTGGTCCAAGGGAGAAGTCCATAATGTCCAGCCACAGTCTGTGCCACTACTCTGCACCCTTCTCACTGGCAAAGATCTGTAACAAACAGCTGTGATCCTGTTTCAAAGACATAAAAGGGGCAGGGGCTGGGATGGGGCTAAAATAATTTCATGAACAAGTTGATCAAAGAAATAATCTGTGAATGAATCTTAGAGAAAGGAGAGCCAGCCCACCATGTGGACAGATAAGATTCTTCGCCTGCCAAAAACAGCCCCTCTTCCCTGCCCTACATTGTCTGCAGGAATGTAAAAGCCATATTCTAGATCATTTGGCATTCAAATAGCTAAGTAGGCTTCACTCTCAGCTCAGAGATGACTGGGGAGCCCATGTTAGCATTCTCCCCTCCTGCCAGGAGGAAAGGGAATCTAGCTCTGGGACCAAAGCAAAGCTTATTCATCTCATCTTTTAAGACTCTGAGACAGAGTTCTCCACAGCCCCCCAGACACAGGTCCTTCTGCATTAAAGAGGCAGAGAAATCAAATGCACATCCCATACAGGAGAAATAGCAGGGAAGGGGGCTAAGGTGACAGATTCTGAAGAGTCAAGCACACCTTTGTGCTCTGCCTTCTTAAAATTCATCCTCTCACCTGCCAGCCTTGAGAATTGCCTATTTACATAACTCGCTGCCTAAAATGGAATATTGGATAATGCTACATGGCGGCTCACTCAATTTGAGCCCATCCCCAGGATGTGAGAGTGATCCAGAAGCCGTCCGACAGCACGCCGTGCAGCACGCTGGCCTCCAGCCATGCCTCCTTGTGGTGTGATCCTGTCAGCACTCCGGAGCTAAGCAGATGTCAGGCCCGATCCGGGCCGGGCTGGGGACTAGCTGAGCGGCGGGGGGAGGGGGCGTGATTCAGCAGTGGCACACTGTCTTCAGGGGACAAACGGCATCTCTTCCTGAGCTTCCCAGCGGGCGCCTTGTTCTGCCCAAGGTGCTGTGTCAGAGACCGTCAACCTCTAGGGCCCAGGAAGGGGGGAGCTGCAGGATCTATGGGACAGCCCAGCATGGAAGGTAATCAGTCAGCCCTGATGCCACCCCTGGCGCCGTGCCAGCCTCGTACCCCCTGTTGATCCTTTCCAGGGCACAGAGCTCTCTCCCATCAAAACTGGACACATGCTGCTTGCTTATAGGAGGGGTATAAATAAGTGATAAGGACATGTTCTGATAATGATAAGCGGGTATGGCCCCTCAGCAGACTAAATGTATCAAAGAAGGCAATTGTGTGTGTTTGTTCATTTATTTTTCAGCGTTCCGGTTCCTGTAGTCAGTTTGGAGAAAATTCCTAACCTAGTGAAGGCAGATGGTGCCAATGTCAAAATGAACTCTACAGCCACTACTGCAGTTTCCGCCTCCTCCACCTCGTCCTCCGCTGTCTCCACCCCTCCTTTAATTAAGCCGGTCCTGATGTCCAAGTCAGTGCCACCTTCACCAGAGAAGATCTTAAATGGCAAAGGAATTCTGCCAACCACCATAGACAAGAAACACCAAAATGGCACCAAAAACAGCAACAAGCCTTACAGGAGACTTTCAGGTATGTGTCAGTGTCGTCAGGGTCTGACTCATGATTAGACTGAAAGGGAGTTGCATCCATAACCAAGGAGTGATGTGTTCTTGTCATTAAGCAGGTCTGTTTTACTTTTAAGGGGGATGTGGAGTTCACCTGCAAACAGGAACCCCACCTAAAAATGCAAGGGAAAACCAGGTCTCTTCTTCCCTGGGCAAATGAAGTCCCTGACTTAGTTCAGTGCTTAATGGGAGTAACCCTAGCAACCCAGGTGGCAGGATGCCCTGCACCAACCCAGTCTGTCGATTCCGAGGGTCTTCTGAGCAGGTGGTTCTGTGTATCCGCATCATGCTGACGACTTGAACCAGTGCTGGCTTCCATAGACGCTTCACTGCTAAGAAGCTGGACAACACACACACACAGGCATCTCATGGAGGCTCAAGGCGTGCGAGGGGCAGCCCCGCCAGCGCTGTGCTGCACAGGGACACACAGCCTCTGTCCTTTGGCTTTTGGGAGTTTCCAGGTTGATTCTGCAGTTGGGTTTACAACTGTCTGTCCCCCATACTCAGGTTGGAATTCCCAAACAGGAACGCTAGGGCTGGCAGTGCCCATGGGGTTTTGGAGCGGCCTCTTTTGGGTCTACTGCTTGGTTGTCTGAGCAGACACTTGGGGTGCCAGGAGAGGCACTTGGGGCCGTTCTCTGAGATGACAGTGGCTCTGCTGGAGGCCCCCATGTGGGTAATGTTTGCCTTGGATCTGCTGTAGAACTAAACGTGGCAGTTTTTACTTTTTCTGAAAGACCAGGAAAAGCTATAATCGTCATAACTTCTTCACACATCAGGGGCACTCCCTAATGGTGGCCAGAGAAAGTAAAATACAGTGACAGCCACACTATGACAGAGAAATGGTCCTCAGGTTAAGCTTGATTTTTAAGCACCCAAGGAATTGTGGGTAATTTTATTATCTACTTCTATATTTGAGTGTATTTCTGGTTTTTCTGTCTTTCATCTGTAACTCTCTTAAAAATTATGTCTGAAAAGTCCCTCAGTCCCAAAGCATTCAAATAAAGCAGGTATCATGCCTTGTACATCTCTGCCTGCACTGCCCACCCACTGTCAAGAGAGGAAGGTAGAGCCTGGCACTCTAGCACCATGGGCCTCACGGTTCAAGCTGGAGTCCCCAGCGCCTGGCTCTTCCTGAATGGAAAGCTCGGCTTCACTCCTCAGAGGAGGTGGCACCATCCCCGGAAAACCGGTAGGCGTGGGCACAGTGGCCGGAGGCCGAGGGGTCCTCGCTGTAGCAGAAGCACGGCCTTGGCTTCCAGCCTGCGACCCCATCTGAAGTTGTTTGGGGATTTTTTTTTGCCACGTGTGGTTTTTGCATTTTGTGGGTTGTCCTGTCTTACTGGGTCTTTTGCTTGTTTCTGCCTCACTTTCACATTTGGCAGCCGGCTCCTCCCCACAGCCAACAGCCTGCTCAGCTTCAGGTCGACATGAGGCGCTGGTGTGGGACCAGGCACAGGCCTGACTCTGGCGGACCCAGGAGGAAACACCACACCAGGCAGCCTGGTCAGAGAGGGCTCCGAGCAGACCAGCATCTCCAGGCCTAGCATTTTTTTTTTCCTAAGTGAAGCTTAAAAAAAAAAAAATTTTTTTTTAAAAACAGAGAGAGAGAAAAGGCAGACAAAAACAAAAAAAAGCAGAGAGGCACTCTGGTAACCAGCCAGGGAATCTGCTTGGGTGTAGAGTGGTTTTCTTGTGCATGCCATAGGCACCACCACTGCAACCTTCCTATGACCCTCAAAGCTTTTGAAAATAGAATACATTTATTTATTATGTTATAATCTGAGCTTTATTGTAAGCTCAGAGTTTACTCCACCAATTTCAGACAGTTTTCTGGTTAGGTAACCTTTTTTGAGTTTGCAGCCATTCCAGGGTCTTAAGGATGTACCACCAATTTCTGTACACCCCTACCACCACCACCACTGTTACCAGACGCCCCACGTGCCCAGAGGGCTGTGTCTTTCCTGCTCTGCCGGACTTACATGTTTGCTTGGTGCCTTCCAAAAACGACACAGGCCATCTGAGAGGTGAAATTTTAAAGGCGAAAGGATCCTTAAGAGATCCCCTAGTCTGGAGAGTGTAGTGAGACGCTGTATCTGCAAAAAAAAAAAAATTAGCCGGGCATGGTGGTGCCTACCTCTTACTCAGGAGGCTGAGGCAGTAGGATGGCTTGAGCCCAGGAGGTCAAGGCTGCAGTGAGCCTTGTGATCCCACCGCTGGACTTCAGCCTGGGCAACAGAGTGAGACCCTGTCTCAAAAAATAAAAATAAAAAAAAGAGATCACCTCAGAGGCCCTCATTACAGCATGATTGTCATCCTGGCAGGGGTGAAGGACCCAAGATGAGCATAGAAAGAACAGGCTCCTTAGATGTAACTGCCACACGAGCTGTCCACAGTCAACTGGAAAGGCAGGAGCTGGGGAAACCTGGCCTCTCCGCACAGACATCCTTCATCTCACAGGGGCAGCCTGCCGTGTTTTATTCCCACATGAAGCATCAGGCCCAGGACAGGGGGGACGGGGAGCAGCTTTGAGATGAGCAGACCCTGCCCTCTCTGCACGTTCAAGTTCAGCCTCCTCCCCTGCCCCTGCCTGTAATACTGCCAGAGTCCCCCTCCATCAGGTAAACGGTGTTTGTGGTCAGCAAGGTTGTGTGTAAAGCCTGCGCTGAGGGCTTTGTCAAGTGTGAGAGAGCCAGGTCATTCCGACATGTCAAGGAGTAATCTCCCACTTAAATGGCTAAAACTAGCAAGAAGGCAGGAGCCAGAGTCAGGGTTTCTGCACTCTTGGAGCAGCCCATGAAAGGGGCCATTGGGTCGCAGGTGGCTCTCCCTGGTCTGCAGCCAGCTTTGCCCAAATGCCAAGGATCTGTGGACCCATTGCAAGTGAAATAAAGCGTTAAGAGCGGCACAGCTCCTCTCCTTCCCTTCGGTGCCTGCTCCCGCCCTCTTCCCCGAGCCTTGTGCTGTGTTCGGCCATCCTGCTGAAGCTAGACTTGGGAACTTTGGGTTCAGAGGGGAGCACCATTTCCCCACCAAGCGGTTCTGGAAGCATTTTAGCAGCCGGTTGAGAAAACAAAAAACAAAAAACAGATTGCCTGACAATGTCTCACTTGTTGGTGCAAATGTGCATTTTTTTAAAAATGTAGTCTTAATGCCAAATCCTATTTAGTCTCCTTTTTTCTTATATTTTTTGTTTGTTTCTTAAACCAGAGAGAGAATTTGACCCAAATAAACACTGTGGAGTGTTGGATCCCGAGACAAAGAAACCTTGCACAAGATCCCTCACCTGCAAGGTATTTCTCTTTCCATAAAAAATACTTCCTGCTCTCGCTGGGGCCTTTGTCGAAATGTTTGCATGCCACTCTCTGCACACGGCAGGGTGTGGAACCTCGACATGACCCCCAGCTGTTCTTTGTAAGGGAAATGCTTTCTTCTCGTCCATGGTAGCAGAGTGCCTGCCTCAAGCTGGCTGGCTTTTTAAGAAGGAAAAAAAAAAAAAAAACTAGGCTTCCCCTGTTACTTGTGAGGCCAGACAGTAAATTGTATTTATAGGCACTCACAGGCGGTTCTAAAGCCTGCTACGTTTTAATGTATGCAGGAGCAGCAGCGGCGGCGGCGGCGGCGGCGGCGGCGGCGGCGGCAGCGCCCTGAAAGGCAGCCCTGGAGGGGAGGATGATATGCCGCGCCCCTGATCCAGCCACACCGGGGTGGCCTGGGGAACAGCTGACCCAAGGTGGCCACCATTGGGTAGCCCAAAGCCCTGTATTTCATACTGAACTGCTAGTGCTTCTTGGGATCAAGGCGATGGCCCTCTCTGCTTGGTGGCTCTGTTTGTCTGGGCCGAATCGAGCCTCCCACCTGCACCTGGATTAATTCTAGCATTCCCTCGCAGTTGCCTTTCATCAGAGAGGTTTTCATGGGTTCTGCGCTGAAGCTCATCATCCTATGCCATTTTTTGGAGGAAGCTTTGACTTCTTAACACCAGGAGTGTAGGGCATGGTTGCGTTCGTGTGGTCTCTGCCTCTTCCTAGCCACAGAACAGGAGCTGTTGCCTTGAAGTTGACTTTTCAAGCACCTCTAAATTTCCATGAATTGCTATTTCTGAAATGGAGGGCCTGGGGAAGCAGGTTTATGTGCTGATCAAAGAGGCTGTGCTTTTCATTTCTCTTCTCCTTAGACACATTCGCTAAGCCATCGGAGGGCAGTCCCGGGCCGGAAAAAGCAATTTGACCTCCTCCTGGCAGAACACAAAGCCAAGTCCCGGGAAAAAGAAGTTAAAGATAAAGAGCATCTCCTGATTTCCACAAGGGAAATACTTCCAAACCAATCCGGGCCGGCACAGGATTCTCTGCCAGGGTCTTCAGGGAGCTCTGGGCCAGAACCGAAAGTTGCATCCCCTGCAAAATCCAGGCCACCTAACTCTGTACTTCCTAGGTAAGTACCACCTTGACGATAGAAGCCCTGAGTGCTTGGTCAAGTGACTGTAGCTTGCTGGGTCTGTGGCGTGTGGTCTGATCATGCGTTAAATGGAAGTCATAATAGTACTACTTCATAAGGCAGGAGTAAAGTTTAAATGAGATAATGTACATAAGAGGCCCAACCCGGTGTCTGCCACATACTGTTCAACAGACTTTACTGCTGTCATCATTCTCATCATCACTGTCATCATCATTGTCAGCAGCAGCAGACTTCATAGCGGACCACCAGACCTTATATCAGACAGTGTGTGTTTTTACAGAGCAAGAGTAAGCTGGAAACAGATAACCAGGAACTGTGACGCATCAGCTGCCAGGTGACTTCCTGGTTGCCTAGGTTTGGATATTAGTTGACAATTCCTGGAGCGGAGTAGGGAAACCGGGGTGGATGTGTTATTAGCACCTCTTAGGCGCTCACTGCACCGTGCTAGTTCATTTCCCATGGTATTTTTTTCCACGCCCTTCTATCATCAGGATGAAAAGGGAAATTGGCATAGCAGAGGTTGTTTGTCCGTCCATGTGTCTCCACACCAGGAAAGCTACTCTTCTGGGCCACCTGTTTGCGCTTCTGTTTGGTTGTCCTGGACAGAAAGGAAAAAATAGAAAATAGAATTAAAACTCATTTGGATTAAAAGTAATTTAAAATCCATGCATGTCTGTTTTTTGACGGGCAGCAGCTCAGTTTCCAAATAATGGGACAGGGAACCATTTATTCAAAAATATTTATTGAGTGCTCACACCATAAGCAAGATTCCATGTTAGGTACTCTCAGGCAGGGGTGCAGAGATTAATGAAGCTAGACCCCTCTTTTCAGAAATTTAGAGTTTAAAAAATGAGAGAAGAATCAAGTAGCCATAATTTTTATAAAAAGGAAACATTAATAATACTCCATGAGAAGTGCAGATAACGGTATTATCTGATGTCTTTTATGTGTACAGTGTGAATCTCAATGGGTAGCAAATAAGCTTTAAGAGGACATAGTCATAAAAGAAGGGGAGGGAGCTGATTTTTAAAGCAAGATCAAATACTTGATAGCAGTCGCTCCTGATCTGCCAGGCTGTCACCCTGACGCCTTCCATGTTGGTGCAAGCCTGACCCAGTTTGCCAGCCAGAGTCCCTCTGTCATTATGGCCAAGCTCAGCCTCGGGTGTTCAGGAGGATGTGGTCAGATGGAATTGCCATCGCCAGCACTTCCATCATGCTCACCATCATGCCGTCACTGTCGCCATTGACATGCTACTTTCCTGGCCACCCCTCACTTTGCAAGGTCATTTTATAATGACTTCTCACTGTGATGTTGGGTGTTGGTTAAGGATATTACCCTTGTTTTAGAGTTGGGGCAACAATTCCATTCCAAACTCCTGGAAGGGGCTTCAATTCTGTATACAGCGGCTTTTAAATGTCTTTGTAGCTGTCGAACATTTCCATTCCAGCACAACCTTACATGGGTGCCCGACAGGAAAGCAGACCTGCCTCCACCTGAACCCTGGCTCAGCTCACACATGGACCCAGAGCCATCGTCCCCCACACTCGCTCAGGGATCTCCTTGGGTTCCCCAAGAACTCCGGGGAACCCAGATTGACCACCTTCTTTGGTCATACAAATCTCCTTCCATTTTTGACTGATGGAGGCACTTCTCACCCAAGCAGTGGTACCTGGCTTTACAGAGAAACAAGGGAGCAGCTGTTAAACAATAAAACAGACAGTGGAGCCTGAAGGATCTGCTCCGACTGTTCCTTTTTGGTTTAATTTTCAGAGGAATGTTCATCTATAGAGAAATGCCAGCTGTTTGTGTTCTCTTAGGGAAGCAGAAAAGGAGGGGTAAGGTTAATCAGCAAAAAGAATGTCTCTGGAAAGGAAGTTGGGGGGCAAAGGAACACATTACAAACGTTGGTAACAGAATCTTTTTTTTTTTTGAGGCGGAGGTTTGCTCTGTCGCCTAGGCTGGAGTGCAATGGTGCAATCTCGGTTCACTGCAACTTCTGTCTCCTGGGTTCCAGCAATTCTCCAGCCTCAGCCTCCCAAGTAGCTGGGATTACAGGCGTGTACCACTATGCCTGGCTAACTTTTGTATTTTTAGTAGAGATGGGGTTTCACCATGTTGGCCAAGCTGGTCTCGAACTCCTAAACTCATGTGATTCGTCCACCTCAGCCTCCCGAAGTGCTGAGATTCCAGGCATGAGCCACCGCACGCAGCCCACAGAATCATCTTTGAGAATGCTTTTCAAGGTTGAGATAGGCACCAGAAAATTCAGGGGTGAACTTTTTTCCAAAGTTAATCAGGAAAATGTCCTACCCTTATCTTAGGTTAGGACAAGGTCGCTGCAATTAAAGATTGAACAGGCACAATCAGAGTTGAATATTGTAATGACACAAAACTTACAAAAACATTTATTTACTCATATTGATGTATATATAATAGATGTTTAATCTATACAGGTTATCTGTTCTTGGCAAAAAAAAAAAAAAACTATCACACATGAATGGAATTTATTGTCATTCCCTCCCACTTGTGAGTTCCCTTTGTAGGAAATGCTAACGTGTGTGGATTTATTTCTTGCGTATCTTTTTGTTAACCTTGAAAATATTTTAGTTCTCATATTCTTACATTGCAACCCGTTCTTGTCGGGGATTGCTAAAAAAGGAACTTGAGTCTAGAATTAGAAAAGTTAAAGTTAGATAACAAGGGTTAGAATGGGATTTGAAGGGGAAATCTCAACTCCGTGCCTACTAACTAGGCAAGCTTGGTCATGGTTCTTAGCCTGTCTAGCCTCAGATTGCTCATCTGTACAGTGGAGCTCATCAGAGTCAAGTGAGAAAGTACCAAGCACATAAGAAGCACTCCATCGATGGTAGCTTTCAGTGAGTTGGAGGGGTACTCCACGGAAGGTGCAGGGAGGGAATGCAGGCCTCGACACTGCCTGATGTCCATTTGCCTGCCCTCCGTGCCTCTGCCCTCAGCCCGAGGAGCCTGGAATAACACACTCATGTGTTCTGTTTCTTTGCCTCCAACTCTAAAGGAACACATTGCTTGCTTCAAAAAGCCTGAGGGCTATGGGTGACTAGCCCAGCCAAACCCACCAGGACTGCTGGAGAGAGCGAAGAGGGCTAGGGTCAACCTGGGCTCTGACAAGCCAGGCTGAGAGCCCTCAGGAAGCCAGTGCCACAAAATCTGGGCACAGTCCCCCCTGCCTCATAGATGCTTGCACATGCAGTCTGAAGTATAAAAATCTTAAACTGACAAGGACAGTGTGGAGAGAAGCAGAAGGTCCTAGATTCCTGACGAAGGGCAGGGATGAGTCTGGAGTAAAAGCAACTTCTGTTCCATTCTGTATCTCATTAGAATAGTGATATTGCCACACTAAAAGCCAATTCTCTTTTTTTTTTTTTTTTTTTTGTAGAAACAGTCTCATTATGTTGCCCAGGCTGGTCTTGAACTCCTGGGCTCAAGCAGTCCTCTTGCCTTGGCCTCTCCAAGTGCTGGGATTACAGGCATGAGCTGCCACGCCTGGCCTTGTTCTCTCCCTGACTTCTTATATATTTGTCCCTGCGCTGTTTCTACATCTGTTTCTCAGTCTGGGAGGTTTGAGGTCATGCAGACGGGCACAAAACCCCTCCATTTCTTATTGGCTTTAGAAAAATTTCCTCACCTGAGGCCAGGTGTGGTGGCTGATGCATGTAATCCCAATGCCTGGGAAGGCAGAAGTGGGAGAATAGCTTGAGCCCAGGAATTCGAGAGCAGCCTTGGCAACATAGCGAGATCGCATTCTCCACCAAAAGGGACAAAAAAATTCTCATCTAAGAAAGGTAGATCCTAGTTTACTCACCTAAGGTGGATGGAATAAGAAGTGTACATTTCATGCCTGGCACATAGTAAGGACTGAATTAAGGTCAACTGGTAAGGCCTGAATTAAGGTCAAGTACCTTCTGCTCTCTTCCCCAACACACTCGACAAAAGGCTGATGCTCTGCTTCCTCAAAGTGCTGGGGTGGGACTTTCGCTGCATTTCCCTGAGTTGGACTGGACAAGACCCATCATCCGATACTTTGACTTTAGACCAGACTGGCGGGCAGACGGGGGGAGGGTGATGTAATGTGGAGGGGGAAAGAGTGAACGGCCACTAAACAAACTTGAGTGACTGTGTCAACACCTTCCCGTGACTCATCGCCCAATTCACCATCACTCCTCACCCAAGCCTTGCTTTTTCTGAGCCGAGCTGGTTCCAGGGAGCTCCTTCCCGCCAGGTGTCACCCTGGAATGCAGCAACCAGAGCTAAAAGGTCCTGAAAGCATCCGCCACTCCATCATCTCCAGGACGCTGCGTGCACCCTGAGGGAAGTGAGCCCAAAAAGGAAATGATGTGGAGCTCCTCCTCCCAGTGTGTGTGCACACGCAAGCATACCGTCATCATCCCTGTTTCGCCCTTTGCTCCCACAGCCACTTCTGGGCTATAGCACAGCTTCCATGCTCAGCTTACCCCCCAGGAATCTCTTCCACTCATCTCCTCCTCTCTTTTATCTGGCAACCAGAACTTATGGAGTGTTTCAGCCAGTTTTCTTCTTAATTACACTGTTTTTTTTTGCTGTTAGTGTTTTGTTGTTGTTGTTGTTGTTTTTGTTTTTTTTGTTTTTTTGTTTTTTTTTTTTCTGAGACGGAGTTTCGCTCTTGTTACCCAGGCTGGAGTGCAATGGCGCGATCTCGGCGCACCGCAACCTCCGCCTCCTGGGTTCAGGCAATTCTCCTGCCTCAGCCTCCTGAGTAGCTGGGATTACAGGCACGCGCCACCATGCCCAGCTAATTTTTTGTATTTTTAGTAGAGACGGGGTTTCACCATGTTGACCAGGATGATCTCGATCTCTTGACCTCGTGATCCACCCGCCTCGGCCTCCCAAAGTGCTGGGATTACAGGCGTGAGCCACCGCGCCCGGCCTGCTGTTCGTGTTTTGAGACAGAGTCTCAC